ATCTTTGTCCCAAAAGAATGAGGCTCACCACAAACATCTTGCAGTGTTTAGCAGTGAATTACAAACGGCACGGAGCTGAGTTAATCCTCCAACATTCCTCTCCTCCTCCCCCCCCCCCCCCCTCACCCTCCCCCCTACCCTGCTCCCGCTCTCTCTCTCTCTCTCTCTCTCTCTCTCTCCCCCCCCATTAAGTAATGATGCTGGTGGCTTCTGTTTCCAGTCCATGTGTGCTGTCCTCTCACTGGATCAGTTTTCCTTCAACATTCTATTTATATTCTGTACATTGATGTTTGGTTCCTGAGACCCCCCCCCACCAAACCCCCCCCCATCAACGCTGGTCTGCAGCAGTTTAAATTACAACAGATTTAACAGAAAAGAAAGGCCTCACCCCACTGTCATCTGGGAGGGCGGCCCCCCAGTCCACAGCGGTCGTAACTCCAGGTGTTAATGGGGGGGGGCTGGTCAGTATTGAATCCCTGCCCCCCCCACGTTGATGTGGTTTTATGTGACCGCAGGCCTTGAGAATGTTGTTTTCTTGTTTCTCAAACAGGTGTCCTGGAGTTCAGCACCATGGACAGTGACAAAACGACAACATGGATCCTGGAGTTCAGCACCATGGACAGTGACAAAACGACAACATGGATCCTGGAGTTCAGCACCATGGACAGTGACAAAACGACAACATGGATCCTGGAGTTCAGCACCATGGACAGTGACAAAACGACAACATGGATCCTGGAGTTCAGCACCATGGACAGTGACAAAACGACAACATGGATCCTGGAGTTCAGCACCATGGACAGTGACAAAACGACAACATGGATCCTGGAGTTCAGCACCATGGACAGTGACAAAACGACAACATGGATCCTGGAGTTCAGCACCATGGACAGTGACAAAACGACAACATGGATCCTGGAGTTCAGCACCCCCCCCCCGCCCCCAGCTGCTGCTGTTGTTTTGCTGCTGTTACTGCTGTGGTTCCAGCCAGTCAGAGAACAGAACAGAACAGAACAGAACAGAACAGAACACTGACCATGTGATGTCCTGTCTGTACATACAGAGAGACAATCACGCCATCTAGTGGTACAACTCTCTCAACTGGAACAGTCGTCAGGAATGTTTTCTTATTGATGGTGTCTTAGAACACAGAACTTAGAACACAGAACTTAGAACACAGAACTAGAACACAGAATTAGAACACAGAACTTAGAACACAGAACTTAGAACACAGAACTTAGAACACAGAACTTAGAACACAGAACTTAGAACACAGAACTCTACGGTGGAGCAGAAGAACACGAACAAAAAAGAAATTCACTTAAAAAAAAACACGTTAAACTTTTTAATGTTCCGACCTTTACTCAGGACTCCCTCAGATGTTCCCTCCTCCTCCCTCAGACGTGCCCTCCTCCTCCCCCCCTCCACTTCC